TTTCCTCCCATAGGGTCCATATTATTGCTGCTCTTGTGCACCTCCACATCAGTCTTCCCCTCCTTTTTGGCCAGCTGAAAGTGGATCTATCAAACAACCTGTCCAATCTGTCCGGAGTATTCCACCTGCACCCAAAAAGAGAAAAAAACCAATCCCAAATACCACAAGCAAATGGACAGGAAATGAACAAGTGAAGAGCAGATTCACCAGTGGATTCACACAAGCAGCACCAATTTGGGGAGAGGCACCATCCAGGTCTCTTCCTCTGTAATATATCACAAGTGTTGATTGCACCATGGAAGACCTCCCAACAAAAAGCACTTACTTTGGGGGGAATCGGATGACACCAGATCTCTTTGACTGGAAAGGGAGTAATTGGTTGAGAAGGCACAGACAACGACTTGAAAAAAGAAGCACAATTGAAAACCCCAGAAGGATGTAGAGTCCAAATTCTATCATCTTGTTTACTTAGGTCCGGGAAAACCCCTTCAAGAATGTGTAGAAGATTTGAAACAAGGCCTTACTCAGTGTCCATCACATTTCTACGAAAACCTAGATTTCACCCAAGCCCGTTAGCTGAGGGAGAGGAGAGCAGAAACTCAGAAATTGGCTTACCCTTGAGAGCAGAAAGGGTGAACAAAGAAGGGAAAGAAACCTTTAAAGGGGCTTCACCCACCCAAAGATCCTCCCAGAACTTGATTTTGTTACCTGAATTAAAATCGAATCTGATGTGATTGAGAAAAGATGGAAGGCATTTCTGAATTGCTCTCCCGGGTGAAAAGCAAGAGGCCCTGCTAGAAGTTTCAGCATCCCACCCGTTCACTGAGAGCCCATGAATACTAGAGATCACTTTATGCCATAACCTGTCTGATTCTCTTGGAAATCTCCACAACCACTTCCCTAGAAGAGCCTGGTTCTTTTCTTTCAGCCTTCCTAACCCCAGCCCTCCATCCTCCTTCCGTCTACAAACTATTTCCCATCTGATCAGGTGATCTTTCTTTGTCTCTCCCGGTTCCCACAAGAAAACCCGCATAATTATCTCCAACTTAACAATCACCTGAGGTACACTAAACACCGATAGGTAATAGACCGGAATGTCTGTGGCTAATTTGTCCTCTCTTTCCCTTGCTCCACTTCCAACTTCTTCGTTCTTTTCCTCAGTAGCTTCAATTCTCACTACCCCTCTTCAGAATGAACATGTAGATATTCTTCTCACTGTTAAGAGCTTGAATACCTTGACCTTCCTTGGCAGGCACCTTTAGATTTGGATCTTTGATTCTCACCCCCTTTACAACTTTTTGAATTTGTTGCTAGGACCTGCCCCAACAAGCCCATATTTTATCTGCAAGAAGACCTTGAAAACATGAATATGAAAGTTGCTGGACTCTGACTCTTCGGAGCCTTTGAAACATTAGGGAGGTTTTCATTATTAGTCTCTGGTCTTCTTTCTTCCAGATCTTCACCTAGTCTTCCAATGACTACTTCAGTGACCAAAAGATCATTACAACTCCTAGGTAGATCTTCTGTGCCATCGTATTCCCCAACATCAAAGGGCTCGAAGAAAAGAGAGGAAGAAGAAAAGGTATTCTTAGAGAGAATCTTCACAACATTGGACTGAGACTGGCCAAGCAATGGGGTTTCCAAAACCATGAAGTGGAGGGAGATTCTAAGCTGTTAATAGGATGGCTGCAGACAAAAAGAGCATGGACTCTGAGACAGCAAATGAGGGAGATTTATTGTTTAGCAAGGGAAACTGGAGTAATCTTTACTTGGGCAAGGAGGTCAGCCAACAGTGTGGCTGATACTTAGGCAAAACAGGGAACTCAAAGGGAAAATCTTTTTTGGGCTGTACTGTAAATTTTGGGATAAAATATGGGGTCAACACTCATGCTGTGAGTGATTTAGCATTGTACTATGTTACTAATTCAATGAAAGTGACAGTTTCCAATAAAAAAAATCCTCACAACATTACCCTCATCTGAAGCCTAGTGGACTCTCTGTCTGGGGAGAGAGAACCATCCACCTCTGTTCCGCTTGCCCCCTCAAAACTGATGACATTCTTCCCACAAACTACTGCTGCACAAGGTCCACACATCTCAGAGCTCACCTCTTCCCCAACCCGAAATATATCTTACGGTTGACTAATCGATACTCCCCGCTTCATATCAGAACTTAAATTCTTGCTTCAGAGTAAAAACACGTATAAGAAGGTTTCTTTGATGGCTTTTATGAGTCCTTATTGAAATTTCAATCTTTAGGAAGAACAACCTTGGAAGCTACCAGGGATTGTCCGAGGCTCTAGTTTTAAAAGCTGTTGTTTCAGTTTCCTCTGCAGACAATAGACAGCAAAGCTTTGCATTTATGTCTTCAGTATTCTTTGTTTGAGTACCTTATAAAATTTCATCCATTTCTTAGGGATTCAAAGATTGTGAATAATTTTTAAGTTGATCTACAATATGCTTTTCTACTTGCTTGTTTTTGTTTAACTTGTCATTATCTTTATCTTAGATATCGTATATTCAACTTTTTCTGTTTTCCCTGAACAACTGTAGCATGAAAAACAAAATGGATGAAAAGAAGGCTAGGGTTCCTGTTAATTTTGTGGGTCATTTAATTCTGCTATATTGTCTCCAGTATTTTTCTTCACATATCTGGTCTTTAACATCCCACTCACTAGAATTCTCAATCTGCATGTTAATTCTGCTATGTTGTCTCCAGTATTTTTCTTCACATATCTGGTCTTTAACATCCCACTCACTAGAATTCTCAATCTGCATGTTTCTAGTTTTCCTTCCCTCATTCATGATTATTATATCTGTTCGTTGTAAGACAATGCATCTGCAAATTATAGAACTTTGGCCAAAGAACAACAGAACCACCTTAGAGGCATGCTCGAATACTTTGAACTGGTTTATTTGGATCGTAACATTCCTGCCCAGCTCAAGTTAATTTTCACAGGGCTTGTCAAAATTTTAGTTGAACCAGGGCTGGGGCTTCTACAGCATTTCTGGGTTCCAGACCAGTTGATTTGGGATCTTATTATTTTTTAAGATTTGTCTAGTTCAATTAAAACCAAATAAAAATAATAATATGATGATGATGATGATACAATGATAATTGTTGGATCTTGTCTTCTTTCTTTCTAATGTCCTAGTTATGCAATCTGAGGTCATTCATGTTGTTTCTTTTTTGAACTGTTTCAGGTATGGTTTAAGTTACATTCCATTTGCTCGTAGATTGGTTTCTGAATTGTTCATCAGTTGTTGCGACACTGATATAAACTAGAACTTCTGCCAAAGGAGATTTGTTTGAAACTGTTTTTAGAAATTCTTAAAACATCAAGATTTGATTTTATTTTTTTCGGGTGCAAGTGAAGGTTTGTGTCTAACATCTTATAGCGTGTACTCATACAAGAGTGGTGATTAGGGTTATGTAGAATATTGAATATTCACTGATAAGCAGAATTTGTACAAGGTTTTGTCCTCTTTTGCCAGCAACCTGCAAGTCTTATTTTAAGCTGAAAGCATATACTTGTCAGAGTTTACAGTTTGTCTCAGCCCAGCTTATCTACCTCCACCATTTTTAAGTATGCCTTGTATCAACCAAGACTCACGGGGCAGTTGGTCTATCTGGTTGGAAAACAAAATTCGAATGTCCAGGTAAATAATGTATTTCCTGTTTGCTCAGAGATCAATTGTCAGACCAGAGCCTGCTAAGTCGGGGTAGGGATGATCATGGGCTGGGCCACGTTTTGACAGGGTGTTAACATTTATAGGGCTGCTTGGTCCCGGCCCAGTCTGCACCCCAGGCCTGGTTATATATGTCCAGGCTTGGGGATGGGCCGCTCGGAACTGGGCACCCGACAAGAATTACTAAGGACCCGGAACTGAACTGGACCCGCTAGGGTCTGTAATTTTAGACCCATAACCAAACTGATTGATTCTTGAGACAATTGGGTCTGACTTGCCGGACCGATTATAATCAAGGTTCAAAATATCAAGATACGTTTTAGATATGTATGCGAATCGGAGAAAAATTAAGATACACAGAGAAACACTAATACACTATAAATACCAATGTTTAGAGAACTAGACTAGACATAGAACCAGAGAAGGGAGAGGTTTACGGGTCAGTGGTCTGACCGGGGTCGAATTGTGATGATGGGGCATATATATATATATACCCTATGAGTCATATAAATATTATATATAATACATTTTACAATTTTTAATATATTTAAATATGGTGGATGGATGGTAAGTGATGGTGCACGATCTGGATGCTCCTAACTAGAGGGCAGCTCAGACGTCAGTTGCTTAGTTGGTCGGTTGAACTACAAAGAAACAGAGCTCAAAGGACCGGGGATGGCTTACCCGGTGTGGGTGCTCCGACGCTTAAGTTAGTATTTTTTGTGTACGAACTGAATATCTGATAGCAAGTAGGCTAGTGAGCAATAAATCGCACGTACCTTGTGACGTTGGGGTTGATGCCCTTATATAGGCATTGTTTGGCGTAGGCTTCACACACAGCGTCTAAGATCTTCGGGAGGTTGTGCCTAACCAGTCCGAAGTCCTCGGAGGTAGTCGTGCACGTAGGCCAGTCTTTGTGCCTTACTCGGTTTCCTTCGGAACATTTGGTGTGGTGGCCAACTTTTGAGAGACCCGGGAGTGATGGGATGTATGTTGAATTGGTCGGTGAGCACGCCTCGTAAGTCGCCACCTGGACTTCAAATCAGGTCGGCAAACCCTCGAGGGARGTCACTCCTCATGTCGAGGTCACTTCAGCCGGTACTGACGAGGTACCACAGGTCAGCCTTGGACAAGGTGCTGCTAGCCGCCCTAAGTTGTGGATGAGGTCGCCAGCTAGGTTTCCACCAAGTTGGTGGAGGCAGATCGCCAGGTCGCTAGGTGGGACTCCATTTTGGCTAAGACAAGTCATCGCCTAGGTGGTGTCGGGGTGTCATCCAACTGTTCCGAGATGCCATGTGTCATGATGTCAGTGGAGAACCAAATCAGCCTTCATCAATTGCCCCCCACTCCCGAGCTGAGGTCAGCTCGGCGAAGGGAGTAGCTTGTTGTAGTTTTTTTTGGTTCGGAATGATTAGTTCGATGAGCTTGTAGGCACCAGTCTAGTTCGCTTCCCAAGTTGAAAGTCTTAAGGATTAAATGCACCCTTATGTAGGACTTCGCCGTCTTGGTTATCCGGGCATAGGAGCGAACTCATCTGCTAAAGGAGAGGCAGAGTAGACACCCCGAGGACATCTACCTTACTTGGGGTGCAACCTCAAGGAGTTATGCAATTCATCCAAATACCTCAAGAGTGAAGTTCCTCATGCCGTTCTCAAGAGGGGCTTCCAACTGCGTGACTGCCTTGTCAGGTCGCTCCACTTACGTAGGCTACAATGCAATGTCCCTCACATCGGTCCTCGAAGGAGCAGCCGACAAGGTTAGTGCAGAGCCTGAAACCGAGGTGGAGGACGACTGTGAAGAAATCGACCAAATTTGCATGTCTACCGTGGTGTTGAAAGCGAACTAGTCTTCCTTTCCTCCACTTCTCTTTTTTCTCTTCTTTTTCTTTTCCAAGGTCAGCAGTGAGATGCCATCATCCTTTGAGATTGATTTAAGCGAAGTGGTGACATTGCTGCCGAGATAGATAAACGGGGGGCCAACCTGCTTTGATCGGCCTACTTGTAGTTGTCGTGTTTCGAGGTGGGCTTGAGGGGCCTTAGCTAAAAAGCGGTATGGTTATCCCTTAGAACTCAATTTGACCAGGTTGCCAAAGCGGATGGTCGTTTTGTAGTAGCTTTAAATGTGGCTGCATCTATGCCATCACGTGGGATTGGCTTCCCTAGGTGGGCGCTTACAAGTCCATGCCATACATGTACTGCACTTGCTCCTAGAACAGTTGGCCACCCACTCCTACTAGATCCATGGGAGGCTCACCCTGAGGGGGTGGCTCTTCTGTCTGTGGGTCGCCTACTCTCATGGGAACCATGAAAGGTTTGACCTGTGAGGCCGGTTACATATTTAGTTTGCTTCCAACTCTCATGGAGCCATGAAGGGCTCAATTAGTAGTGAGGCTACGCAGTTTGGGCTCGGAGACAATCTGGGCTAAATCGCTAAAGCTCGCCCGGGTTGGTTGTTCATATTTTGCTCCCTTGTGATAGCTTTGTTGATACGTATGTTGCTGTTAGTGTTGGACGGTAGGTCGATGCCACGGCTACACTGCATCAGCCCTCGTAGACGCTAGTCGTCTACTCTTATGATAAGCCAACTCGTAAGGGAGCCTTGGAAGGCTCGACTTGCAAGGGCGACCGCACAATTTGTTGGCCGCCGACTCCCGCGGGAGCCACGAAGGGCCCGACCTGTAGAGGCGACCATGCGAATAGAGCTGACGAGGTTCGTTCGGGCTGATTACTGTTGAGTGTGAATATAGAATGAGTTGAGTTCGGCAGGGCTGCTCCACAGTCTGTTGGCCATCAACTCCCACGGGAATGACGAAGGGCTCGACCTGCGGGGGTGGCCTCGCTTTGGGGTGCCTGTCGCTGGACTGCTGGTTGTTCAGGTCATTCTACTGTTGATTGTTCTGCGGTGGCATGAATGCATTGAACTTCTCCCACGCCCACATCTGGAGATTCATGCTTCGAACATATTGTACTAGCTCATAAAATTGCCGTGTCAATCCCGACGGGAACCGTTGATGGTTCTACYGCAGGGAGAGGGGCGTTCACATGAGGTAGTGGTGTGTTTACCTAGGGAAATGGGAGTGTTGGGTTCGGCATGGCTACTACTCCAGGAAGTGCTAGGGGTACAGTGAACTACCTGATTGTCATAGAGGGGTTCATCACAGACTGCTCTTGCCCCCAGTGACTGGTATTTCTTCGTTGTTGATGTTGGTGTTACTTGAAGACGCCATTGAGTTGATAAAGATGAAAACTAGAAGGTGAGAACTTAGCTTTTTGTTACGTTTCCCACAGACGACGCCAATTGATGGTGTACGATCTGGATGCTCCTAGCTAGAGGGCAGCTCGGACGTCGGTTGCTTAGCTGGCTGGTCAAATTGCAAAGAAATAGAGCTAAGAGGACCTGGGATGGCTTACCCGGTGTGGGCGCTCCGACGCTTAAGTTAGTATTCTTTGTGTGCGAACTGAATATCTGATAGCAAGTAGGCTAGTGAGCAATAAATCGCGCGTACCTTGTGACGTTGGGGTTGATGCCCTTATATAAGCGTTGTTTGGCGTGGGTTTCACACACGACATCCGAGATCTCTGGGAGGTCGTACCCAGCCGGTCCAAGTCATCGCCTAGATGGTGCTAGGGTGTCATCCAGCTGTTCTGAGATGCAATGTGTCATGATGTCAGTGGAGGACCAAATCTGCCCTCATTAGTAAGCTTCCTAATTTTTAAAACAAATGACTAGGGTTCAAGCCTTTTAATTTACATTTACTTTAAAATATGAGCATAATAATGTAATATGTATAATAAAGAGTCAAGTAAAGAGTAGGGCTACAAGTCGGGTCAGGTTATGTTGGGTTGAGGCCAACCCTAGCCCAACCCTAAGTTCTAAACCCCCAACCCTAACCCTAACCCTAACTAAATTCCTTCAACCCTAACCCAACCCAAAGTCAACTTCGGGTTGGGCCCAACCTAACCTTCTTCCCATCCCTTAAAATCTCGTAAAACTTTTTAATCTTAGATCTTAACTCAACTTTCACTGTATATATTAATCCTATGTTTTATTAATATTTGTTTGTTGATGTTTTTATTGGTTCTTTAAGTACAAAATAAAATAAAAAAAAGTGTTTGAAATGATTATAGTTTATTATGAGTTATAGCTTATAATAGATCTTTTATGGGCATTAAGCAATGGGTGGCAAACAACAAAGAGAAGATAAAGAATAAAATATTCAAAAAATATAAAAAATGTTATTAAGGTTTTGGTATTTCTAATTAGGATTAAGTGAAGTGATTATTTTAAAAGAAATACGTGATAGTATGTAGTAGGGGCTATACAACTATCATGCATATAAAACAAATCAATGTAGGATATCATATATATAACATATATTTATATATGATATGTACTATAGAGTCGGGTTGCCCGAGGGGTCAACCCTAACCCAACTCGAAGTAAAGTCATGTTCATAAATTTCAATCCTAATCGTAACCTGAGCATCAACCCGACCCAACCAACTGGACCCAAGTTGCAGCCTTAGTAAAGAGGTGGCTTAGTGGTAATTAATTAATATGTGAAAATAAGAGGTCTTGGGTTTAAATATTGTTAACAACATTTTAAATTTTCATTTATGTATGGACCTGGGGCAGTTTCATGAAAATGGGACTGGTTCACTAGTTTTTCGGTTAAATCGTTTGGTCGACCGATTTTCACCAGGTTTTAAACAATTCCAGTTATTGCGGTGCAACCGAACCGGTTAGTGCCCCGGGTCGTAGTTCAACTGATTCAACCAGTTGGTCCAGTCCGATTTTCTAAACACTGATAAATACTTCAGTAAATCATAAAAATATA